ACAGACGTGCCAAACCCTCCCTTTGTCTCATTTTTCCTGTCCGTCTGGTGCTTGTTAGGTGGGCTCTTAGCTCCTCCCTCCCTGCCTCCCAGCTGATGCCCGGAGCCCAGCCCTGGCCCTTGTCTGTCACTCTCCTGGTCCCCTCCCTCCAAGCCCCGGGCAGGTTTCTGCTGGGCCTGCCCTTGCCGCCCCTTGTCGCTGCCATCAGCTGCCCCATCAGCTGCCCCCCAGTGTGATCCGCTCTGACTGTCCTCTGTGGGTTTGTCTGTCTGTGTGTGCACGGGATTTCTACAGGAAGCCCATGGGGCCCGGCTGGTTCTCAGGATCCTGAAGGCCTTTCCCAGCTTCTTCCTGTCCGTCCTCTCTCTTTCCCCCCCTGTTAGTTCTTGAGGACACTGGCATCCTGTCCCTCACGGAGCCTGCCCAGTGCCGTGCCCACACCTGCCTGCTGACCTCTGCCCACCCCTCCTTCCTCCCACACCCACACTCAGCACGCGTCTCACGGAAAATGTCCTGCCGCTGGGCCTCCTGTTCAGCGTCCCTCCCACCTGCTCTTCGGAAGCAGGCGTTTGTCCATCCAGTCTCCACTGCCATCAGCAGTCGACTCTTGCCCAGCCCGTGTGGCGCAGTGGTTGAGTGTTGACCTATGAACCAAGTGGTCGCTGGTTTGATTCCTGATCAGGGCATAAGCCCAGGTTGTGGGCTTGATCCCCGGTGGGGGGCGTGCAGGAGGCAGCCGATCAATCAGTGATGTTCTCTCTCGTCAATGCTTCTATCTATCCTTCTCTCTCTAAAAATCAATAGAAACGTATTAAAGAAAAGTCAACTCTCTGTAGTTGCTTTCTCATCGTGGCTCTAGAATCGGGGGCATAAACGCGCTCCCAGGAGGACTCCGGACAGAGGCCCAACTGCACAGGAAGAAACCTGAGCTGCCCACCAGGCACCCAGACACCACAGCCCAGCACGTCAGGGACCCTGATTGCTCCCCTGCAGCCTTGAACTTCAAAGGAGCCATGGCCCGAGTTTCCAGGAGAAATGTCACAACCCCCATCATTCGAACCCTCGGCCTGTCAGCAGGTGTGTTTGTTTTTAATGTGTGGACGCCCATCACGGAACCATGCCCTGTCCTGTGTGATGAAGCCGCTGGATCCCACGGCCACGGCCACGGCCACAGCCACACGGCAGCGAGGTGGGCTTGGTCTTGAAGTGCTTCCTCCGCTGTTGGTCATGGAGCTCCAGCCCGCAAAGGCCACACCTCCCCGCCTGCACTCAGGGACAGCTGTCCCACGCTCACACCATGGCCCGCGGCTACAATGGGTGGATCAGCCACTACGGAGTTTCCTGAGAAAAAGACTTAAAAAAACCCCCCAAAACCAAGTCTTCATTCTTTTCCACAAACCAGAGATGCCCCAACAGCCCCATGGGCTGTTAAACATGCTCAGTGCCACGGAGTCTAAAGGATTATATGGTGCGACTTTAAAAACCATAAACTTCATTGGGTCTCTTTCCGTGGGAGCGACCAGTAAACCAACTGGTGCCAGGAATGATTGCTGTTTAGGACCCTTAATGTCTGTGAAGTTCAGGACTCGCCAGGGCTGTGTTAAGTCTGCTGAGCAGCGTGGGAGAAAGCTCGCCCGCCAGCGCGCTCAGTGGCTGAGCGTGGACCTACGAACCAGGAGGTCAGGGCACAGGCCTGGGTTGCGGGCTCGATCCCCAGTGTGGGGCGTGCAGGAGGCAGCCGATCCATGATTCTCTCTCATCATTGATGCTTCTCTCTCTCTCTCCCTCCCCTTCTCCTTTCCTCTCTGACATCAACAAAAATAAAAAATAAAAAAGGAGAATAAGGGAGGAACAAAATGAAAAGAACACAGAGCCGTGAACAGTGGGCGGTGCTTAGGTTTTTATTTTCACACACACACACACACACACATATAATGTTCTAGGTCGGGCATAGATCATATCATCAAAAATGTATGTTTTCCTTCCCGAAGAGGAGCTGAGAGCTGTGCCCCTCCCCGCTGAGCCTGTCCGTGCACCGCTGGGCCCGGCTCTCTGGGGATTGAGGGTGTGTGTGGTTTCTTGTAAAGTGCTCCCTATTTGGGGGAAATCCCCCTATTTTGGGGGGGACCAGTGGCATCTCAAGGTCCAAACTAAGGCCTCTTTCTTTTCCCTGATGGCTGGGCTTCCCGCGGGGGCGGGGGGGGGCACCTCGGGGAGAAACAGCGGGAC